TGGACCACAGCTTGTAAGTCATTCTTTAAACAATCCCCTTTCTCTTTATAGGGAGAGGTTCATCCTATTGAATTTCTGTTACTCTAAAGAATCCTGACTAATTGCATGCACAGATCCCTGGTCTCATCCCAGAACTGCACAAAGTGGGCATGGTGATGAACTCAGGCGGTGGAGGCAGAAGGATCAGAAATTTTAAAAGTTGTCTACAGAGTAAGTTCTGGGCTACCTGAGACCTTGTCTAAAAGCAGAGGGGAGGAGGGGATCTAAGAACCTAAAAACAAGTCAAATCTAGAAGTCCATTCCCACAACTTACATTCAGTATTTTACTGGAGATACAGTCATGATAGTTAGTTCTAAGGACACAGGTGTGGCCACTGGCCCCTGAGCTCAGCCTGTCTCCCAGGCCTTCTGTGGCCCAGGCTGCCACTGGCTACTGAGCATGTCTGTAGTGGGAACATGGGGTGCCATTCTGTAGGTGGAGGCTGCTTCTTCATTTCTGGCCGCCCAGACCCAAAATGATCACACAGAAACTGTATTAATTACAACACTGCTTGGCCAATAGCTTAGACTTCTTATTAACTAACTTTTACATCTTAAATTTCATTATTTTGTATGTTACCACAAGGCTTACAGGTAAGGTTCCATGTGTCTTTCTCCTTTGGCAGCTACATGGTGTTTCCCTGACTCCGCCTTCTTTTCTCCTCTATCTCTTCTTGGAATTCCCCGTCTTGCTCTATTCTGTACAGGCCCAAAGCAGCTTCTTTATTAACCAATGGTAATAATGAAAGACTCTAAATGCACTTGTAAGCCCCCTCAACCCTAAGACATTTTTCTAAAACCTTACACTCACTCTCTCTTGGAAATGGGACAGTCGCCCCCACACACACATGCTGGACTGCTCATCCTCCCGTGTCTTTGTGAATAATCTTCAAACATAACTCCGTTCTGGGAATTGAGGCAAAGACAACCCACAGATGTTGACTCAGTTCTTGATGTTTGATTTAGTCACTGAAACAAGGTCAGGATGGCCCACAGATGCTCCCCTTATCTCACCTGACCACGTAGCTATTCTCTTGCCCTGGAATAGACCAATCACTGCTAGTAAGCCTTTGAATAAGCCAATCCAATAAGTTGGAAAACAACCTCCAGGTTCCCTCCTCTTGTGTCTGTGGATTTTTGCTTTAAAAGATGGACCGTAACAGCTATCAGAGGTCCTTCGTATCCCGAACCTGAAGGGCCCTGTCAGGACAGAATAAAAATCCTCTTGCTTTTGCATCAATAGTGGTTATGCGAGTGGTTTCTGGAGCAGCTCCTCCCTGACGTTTGGACTTCTAGTCCAACAGTAAAACATTTCCGCATACAGAGGGGAGTCCCACACCACATGTCAGCCTCAGGAGCTGTTCAGAGAATAACAATCCACTTTAAATCTGTGATGGCGTCCAGGCAAGGTGTCACACACGTGTAATCCCAGCACTGGGAAGCTCCAGGCCAGCCTGGTCTACAGTGTGAGTTCCAGAACAGCCAGGACTACACAGAGTAAACAGACCTTGTGACAGCAAAACACCACTAACCAAGTGAAAAGGTCAGCGACTTTGCCAGTGCTGTGACTGAAATTAATCTAGATAGTGATGGTTCCGGTGCAGAGGAAGGAACTTTGACTGGCTCTGCCACCTCATCTTTGAGGGTCACATTTTTGAGAAGTTAGACATCAACAAGAATGACATGCTTGGCCTTGCTTACAGACTAACACAGATGCCATTTGGGCTGCCCATTCTGTCTGACCAAAGCTGTACCCTAACCCTAACCGACTGCCCATGTGTCTGAGGTAGTGCTGGATGCAGACTACTGATGTGAGCAGGACTTCCTAAGATACTATAACAAGAAATATTTTCATGAAATCTTACCTATTTTTATAATTATTTCTGAATATAATTATGTGAGAATATAACAGTTATATAATAGTTATATCTTATATAATTACTTAGAGATAGCTGATACAATAACCTCCTTACTATTTTTTAAAAAGAAAATTAAACATGGATATCTGTAATTCTGCCCTTGGCAGGTAGAGGCAGGAGGGCCATTTCAAGGCTAGCCTTGGCTACATAGTGAGTTCCAAACCAGCCTAGACTATATGAGACAGGACTATATATATATCCATGATCTCACGATTAGACATAATTGGAGAAGCCAGGTGCACAAGCACAGACCCATAATTTCAGCACTTGGGAGCCAGAGGCAAAAAAGATTTACAACCAAAATATAGTAGAGTTGGAATCAGCAAGACTTTCTAAACATGAAGAATGAATAATATGGAAGGAAATTAAAATAATTTGCTGGGGACCTTGGTATGAGTCAGCAGTAGAACGCCTGCCTAGCATGCACAAGGCTTTTATTTCCAACTCAGAAAAAAGTTACAGTAGACTTAACACACGAAGTTAAATGGTGTATACTGGAAACTATAGCACACAGGTGGAAGAACCTAAGTGAAAGGAAGGATGTTCCCTGCTGATGGAGTTTTAGATTTAATGCTGGTCCTCTCCCTTTTTTGAGAAATGAATAAGATAGCCCTAAAATTCATGTGGAATTGTAAAATTATCTATCCTAAATAGCCAAACTATCTCAAAAATGAGCAAAGGTGAAGCACACACACTTCCTGATTTTAAAATTCATTCCAGAGCTGCATTGTGAAAACAGTGTGATGTGAACATAAGGCAGCTCTAGTTAAGGAATAGAATGGGGAATGTAGAAATGTTAACTGAGATAGCGGTAGAGGAAGCAGATGAAGGACATCCAAGAGCAACCTTTGCCATTCTTGCAACTGCTTGGTAAATCTTAAACGATTTGAAGAAAGGGGTGTGCGGGATGAATCAGCAGTTAAGAGCACTTGTTGCTCTTACAGAAGACCTAGATCTGGTTCACAGAACCTACAAGGTGGCTCATAACCAGTTCCACGGGACCCAGCTCTGCCTTCCAGCCCTTGTGAACACCAGGCACACATACATATGCACATGTACCCCAAACACATGTGCACATAGAATAAACAAATCTAAATAAAAAAAAATGATTTGAAGAAAAAACATAAGCTAAGTAGGGGTGTAGCTCAATGATAAAGAACTTACCCAGCTTGCACGTGGTCCTGAGTTTAAACTACCCCATCACAAAGAACAAATATGACAGAGTCTGCTAGGATGGAGGCAAGAGGATCATGAGATCAGGGTCAGTCTCAGCTATGTAGGAAGTTTAGGACCCTGTCTCAAAAGCCAAAAAATATAAAAATAAATATAAACATACATACCACACCACTGAAAAATTACCAACAGCTAAGTTCTTTTGGGATATATCTATTATTTGTGTTTTTGTTTCTGATTCTCCTTTCAGAAACAATAAATAAATTTCCTAGCCAGGCACAGCGGTTTACGCCTTTAATCCCAGCACTTGGGAGGCAGGGGCGAGCATAACTCTGAGTTGGAGTCAGCCTGGTCTTTATAGTGTCTCAAAAATAAATAATTTAATTTCCCTCCCTCCTCAACATTAACATAACCATATGACTTCTTTGCTAACGTTTGTGAAGCAGTGAGTGGAAATCATGTTATATTTCTGTTATAATTATGAAATAATGAGAACTGAGAGTTATTTCCAGGTGAAAACGTCAGTGCCCACAGTTAGGTGATACACGAAACACAGTTCAGTGACGTAGGCAGAGTTCTTTCTTTTCTCTCACTCATAAGAACAGCATTTTAGAAAACCAAGGTTTGTTTTTCTAATTATTTCCTACTCTATGTATTTACTTATGGGAACAGGGACACACACGTGTACATACTACAGTATGCACGCAGAGGTCACAGGACAATTTGCAGGAGTTGGTTCTCCTCCTGTTGTGGGTTCTGAAAATCAAACTCAGGTTGGTAGCAGGTGCTCTACCCACTGAGCCATTTCACTGGCCCCATCATTTTGTGTTTTTGAGGCAGGATCTCACTCTATGTACCCAGCTATGTAGGCCTCACTCTGTAGGCCAGGAAGACCTTCCTTCCTCAGCCTAAGCACAGAAGGCAGTCATTCACCACTATGCTTCACAGTGGCTTTTACAGAGCTGGGAACGGTAGCTCACACCTTTAATCCCAGCACTCAGGAGGTGAAGGAGACTCCAAGGTCAGAAGAACTTGGTAGGCCAGAGTCACTGCAGAGCCATGGGCATGGTTATTCCACACGTTAACACGTTGTAAGCTTTATGGAATTCATGCCTCCCAAATGCTGGCATTAAAGGTGTCACCACCAGCAGCAGCTTTTTTTTTTTTTAAGAACTCTAAGATCTGCTTTTATTTTATGTGTATGAGTGTTTTGACTGCCTGTATGTCTGCACCATGTGCATATATTGTCTATGGAGGTCAGAAGAGAGCGATTGAATTCCCGGAACTGTAGTTACAGCCAGATGTGAGCCACCATGTAGGCACTGAGAATTGAACCCTGGGTCTCTCTATGAGTGGCCAGTGTCCTTGACCACGGAGTCGTCTCTCCAGCACTGTGAACTTCAATTTGAGGGAGAAACGGTCATGATTTCTTCCAAGAGTGTCAATTTGTCTACCAATGAATGCTTGCAAGTCAACTGCAAAGTCAAAAGGCTCATTCTGCTTTCAGGGCCTTGGTTTCTCTCTCTGGCCAGTTAGCTCTGGGAAGGAGCCCAGCACTGCTCTGGGTCTATCCATTTTCTAAATGCTTACAAATCTATTGACTTTAACTCATTATTTCTTGCTTAATTTCATGACCTAACAAGGTTTCTCCATTCTATTCAAACTAAGTATCGTTCAACAATGCTCTCGTTCTACCTCCTGGCAGGAGTGGAACTTAAGATCTTGATGAGAAAGGGACACAGGACTCTAACCTACCCATTAGAGATGTGGTTTTTTTTTTCTTGCAGTTCTAAGAAGAATGAACGCTAAGTTAGAGAAGATCCAAACCCCTCCCTGCTGATGCAAATCCACAACAGGACGCAATCAGGGTGTACTTAAGATCTTCCAACACTTTATTCTTATAGTTTTTTTTTTTCAATTTAACACTATTTATTTGAGCAAAGAACAACTGCAGAATGGGGTCAGGTCATGCTCAGACCCAGCATGATTTTTTTTTTAATTTATTAAAAATTTCCACCTCTTCCCCGCCTCCCTTTTCTCCCCCCCCCCCCATATTCTTATAGTCTTATCAAGAATGTAGACACTGGTGTCTTCTGGTTTGCATCATCTAGTACAAGAGATGTCACCTTTGTCCTGAGAACTGCATTCTCGTTCCCAAGATAGAAAATACAAGTTTCCTTGTGTGTCTCCCACGGCAAGCTGCAGGGTAGAGTTGGGCCCCAGGCAAGGTTCCAGGCAGCTCACTGGCCCATCACATCGAAATAAACCCAACTAAAACAGGAGCAGAAATGGGAGAGGTGAAGCTACAGGCCTGGGGTCTCCTACACAGGCCAATGCAAGAGCTTGGAGAAAACAACTTTCATCTTTTGCCCCTCCTTACGTCAAATGTTTTCTTGTAATAGGCCTTTCCCAGGTGGCATGTGTGTGTGTGTGCGGGTGGGTGTGTGTGCGCACACTCACACACATACACACATACACACACACACACACACACACACTTACCAACTGCATGCTGGGTCTCTCCCACAGCTTAACATCTCTGTCCTTCGAAGCAGTCACCAGCAATCCAGGAAGTACATGGAGGGCTGTGACTGGGCCCAAGTGAATCTTAGAAAGGAGGGAACAACAAGAGTTCTCCTTTCGGGTAAGGAGGCGCGAAGGCTGCCGCATCAGGTTTAGACCCCGCCCCCCATGAGATATTCCACAGCTTACCTTTTTACCCTGGCGTGCCTTTAAATGTCTGGGTTCTGGCCAGCTCTCCATGCAGGAATCTGACTCAGAGTTTGTCCCTGGAGTCTTAGATGTTTCTGCTTTTGTCTGCCAAATATTATCTACAATCCATTCTCCTTCTAGGGTGCACTCACCTAAGCTCCACAGCATTCCGTCAGAGGTGGCACACAGAAATGATGACTCTGCCATGTTGAGAGCGAAGTCAGAACACCAGGTCTCAGGTCTTTAGTACCCGCCAGCCCCCCAAGCCACCCCAGGGCTCCTCTGGTCTTTTCACTCCTACTAACCAGACTCAGGTTTGGCCTGAGTGATTGATATTGGGGATCCATTAGGATTCTTTAAGTACAAATTGAAGATCCTCTCGACCTCCCCTGACTCCTTCGGCTCCTGTGAAAGGTAGGTGATTGGGTAACTTGGTTCAGTCTGTCCATAAGACACAACTCCACTAACAAAGCCACGATGTTCTGCTCTAAGGTGCTCAGGGCATTAAAAAAAATCCCCAAGGGCAGCCCATGCGTTGAATGGATGGGTGTAAGAATCTGTCCCCCCAAGAGAAGATGCAGAACATGTCTACCATCTTGCTGTTGCCACCACACCGTGCCCAGCTGGCAGAAGAGCCCCCAGAGCTGGCAGCAGATTTTAGCGTCAGGATGTTCTCCACTTGTTCGAGTGAGAGCACCAAATTGTGGACATGTTTGTGTGTAGCCTCCTTTGGCAGAACAATGATATGTCTGTATTTCCCATTTGTCAACATTTCTGCCACACAGTTCTACACTGAAGCTACCTGAATTCTTTCTGGTCCAGGAACTTACATTGTCTTGGCTATGTTGAATTAGGCTGACCCAGATATGCCTTGCCTGGCATTTGGGGACCATGTATACTTCTTTCACTGAGGTACATGTTTGGGGACAGAATCACTGCTTTCTAGACAGCTCTTGGAGGTTACTTTAGAAGGTATCAGGTTAGAACTTCATAAATTTTCCAGAAAAAAAAGAGACCTCAGGAATCTTGGGAATGAAATCTCGCTTTGACATCCCAAATTGCTAAGTGTAAAAACCTACGAGGTAACTGCATCATGACCAAGACACGATGCAGCCCTTGCCCTCAAATGCTAATGCTGACAGAGTCACTACAAAAAAAAAATCACAGTTCAAAAAACTAGGGGACAGGCTGGGCATGGTGGTGCACACCTTTAATCTCAGCACTAGGGAACCAGAGGCAAGTGGATCTCTGAGTTCCAGGCCAGCCTGCTCTATGGAGTGAGTCCCAAGACAGCCTAGAGCTGCACAGAGAAAGCCTGTCTCAAAAAAACAAACAAACAAACAAACAAAAAACAGAAAGTAAGGAAAGAAGGAAAGGAGAGAGAGAGAGAGAAAGAGAGAGAGAGAGAGAAGAAAACTAGGGGGTCAAAGAGATGGCTCAGCAGGTAGGAGCAATTGCCACCAAGCCTGACAACTTGAGTTTAATCTCTAGAACCCACATGGTAGAAAGAAAACCAACCCACCAGGTTGTTTTCTGACTTCTACACACATACTATGGCATACAAGTGCCCGCCCAGACAGACAGACACACACACACACTAATGTAAAACAAAAATTTAAAAAGATGAAAATGAACCGGCACAGTGACACACACCTCCCAGCACTAAGGAGGCAGAAGCAAGATAGGGTCCCACCGCATGGCCTGGAGCAACAGGCATCTATCTCAAAAAGGAAGGGGAGGGGAGGGGAGGGAACGGGAGGGGAGGGAAGGGGAGGGGAGGGAAGGAGAGGGGAGGGGAGGGGAGGAAAGGAGAGGGGAGGGAAGGGGAGGGGAGGGAAGGGAAGGGGAAGGGAGGGAAGGGGAGGGGAGGGAAGGGAGAAGGAGAGGGGAGGGAAGAGGAGGGGAAAGAAGGGGAGGGGAGAAGAGGGAAGAGGAGGGGAGGGAAAAGGAGGGGAGGGAAAGGAAAGGAAAAAGGAAAAGGGAAGGAAGGAAGGGAAAGGGAAAATAACAACAACAACAACAATGACAAACCCTCCTAGGTCCCTGATTTTAAAAATTCTACAACCTTTTTTTTCATGAAATCTTACATGGAAACTCAGCATCCAGTGGTTTCAATTGGGGTTGCTACAGGGAAAGGAAGACCGAGGACTGCAGCCGCCCCCACCCCTACCCCGTCCTCCAAGACTGAGGACTGCAGCCACCTGCCTTTCCCTCCCCGTCCTCCATGACGGGCTCCAGTGTTTAAATGCATTGATTCTACAGGCTAGAATTTGGACAAATGTCTATTGTAACACATCCAAACAGGACTCACCAAGTAGGAAAGATATCCAGGGTCCCCCTGCTGCAGGTAGAACATGCCATGCTCCCGGCTGGTGCACAGTATTGAAGAACGTACTCCATACTTCTTGCTGTTTTATAAGAAAGTGAAAGATGCCTCTCTTTAAGATCTGGGTGCTATACCCTGAGTCTGACTCGGTCTGGGGTAGTCACTAAACCACTTTCTTATTTTCAGCTCAAGAGGTTTTGTATTTTGTATCTTACCAGATCAAAGATGGAGTACACCCAGGCTTCATCTGTAGTAATTCCACATTCTCTTTCATTAAGATGAAAGACTGGCCATCAGGGGCCAGAGCCAGGCCTGTCAAGACTCCCAAGCCCTCCTGAAGAACTTGCTTCATGTGAAGACTGTAGTTCAAAAGACACACAGAGACAGGAAAGAAAACTTCTTTAGCTCTTCCCCACACACTTCTCATGAACGAAGTATAAAACACAATGACCACCTACACCACACATCCTGTTTCCAACCTTCTGTGTACATACTTGTTTGCTTTTGCTGTAGTGGGGATGAGACCCGAGCCCCTGGCAGGATTCAGACACTGAGCTATATTCCCAACATCACCATCACCTCCCGTACCTGCTCAAAAGAGCATTCTCTGCCACTGCTGGCTTTTGCTTCCTCAGTAAGCCCTGTGGTTATCTCCTTCTGTAACAGACCTCAGTAAGCCCTGTGGTTATCTCCTTC